AGGGCAGAGAAGAAAAAAAGAAAATGTCTCTTCGTGTTCACTTTTATAAGAATAAATGGTTTATGGCAAAAGCTATTTAAAAAGTATCAATTAAAAGCGACTCTTGCTGCTTTTTGACAGCGCATGTTGGGGAGAGATTAACCCCCGTAGGGGAAGCAGACGACAGTAAAGGATATTTGACTTTAAGACAAGAAAGATGCATTCTGTCTTTCGTATCTGATTCGTCGTTAGCATTGTCAGCACCATTGATCACACGAGCCTTAAGCGGCACGCAAACACAACAGAACAAACACATGTTTCAAATAGATATATTTCATCCATCAGAATGAGGCTGGAATCTCGGCTTCGTGAAGAGCGAGTATCAGATTTGTTCCTTTTGTTAACTTTAATTGGATGACAACACAAAACAAAGGCAAAATTCATAGAGAAAAAAGAAGGAAAAAAGAGACACGGCCATCTTAATAGTTACTGTTAATTAATTTCTATCGAAGATGTATTGTTTCTGTTGGTATTGATGAATGATTCTAGTTGGAAAAACCTACAGAATTGAGATGGAGGAAAAGTTTTCGAAGGTCGAGAAAAACATTTTTATTTAAAATCAATCTATCTATCTATCTATCTATCTATCTATCTATCTATCAAAGCCTGTTCTTCATCTATCTATCTATCTATCTATCTATCTATTTCCGTCTGTTTCTTTCTATCTATCTCTCTATTTCAGTGTGATTCTATCTATCTATCTATCTATCTATCTATCTATCTCGGTCGGTCTATCATATCTATCTCGGTCTGTTCATATCTATCTATCCATTCATGTATCTATCTATCTCATTCTGTTCATATCCATCTATCTATTTCCATCTGTTTCTTTCTATCTATCTCTATTTCAGTCTATTTTCATCTAATCTCTCTCTCTGTATATATATATATATATATATATATATATATATATATATATATATATATATTCGTCTGTTTCTTTCTGTATCTCTCTTTTTCAATTTATCTATCTATCTATCCTTTCTCGTAAATTTATACATTTTTTCGTTTTTTTCATGTATTTCACTAGTTACATTATTATTATTATTATTATTATTATTATTATTATTATTATTATTATTTATTTATTTATCTATTTATTCATTTTCTTTGCTTTCTGGTGTATATTCATTTCTTTCCGGGTCCCAACCAGAGACCTAAGGTCAGAAATGACACTATAACAGTTTTCATTAAGCATTGTTTGAGGAGAAAAACAGTCCACAAAAACAAACACCTAATATTTTAAATAGATAATGTTTTTCTTGTAGAGTGGGCTGTACTTGTGAGTTCCATTTTTTTATTATATCTTGAAAGCATGGGCTACCAGGAATCCTTTCAATTAGTCTATTGGATTGTTTTCCAATCAGTCCAAGGGATCCAACTACAACTGGAGTTGTGGATTTCTCTATGTGCCCCGTTTTTTAGATTTCGATTTTAAGGTCTTTGCATTTTGACAGGATTTTTTTTCTTAAATCTTCAAAGATACATTACAGCCTGCAGGGACTGCCACATATCAATAAGAAGGCACATTTTGTCATTGTCGTTTCTCATCACGGTGTTTTGGCGATTGACGTTGATTGCTCTGTCTGTGTGTCATGCAAAATCCCGTAAAATTGCCATGAAAATATTTGATGAAAAGACAAAGGGAAGCCACAGCACGTCTGTGAGAAAGTGACTGTAGACGAGATGCCAGATCAGGATCTATTACATTGCATATCCGTCTCTGGATTTTGTCTAAGACATTGAGATGAACAGCGGAGGCACCAGGCCATATTTTAATCCAATATTCAGCCAGAGACACTATATACCTTCAAATGGTGAAATGGTCATTATGTCAAACCCAGTTAAATGACTTCGAAATATCTAAAGCCAGAAATAATAGATAACTATCTATATTTATTTTATTGTTCCCCTTCTTCTCAGGACGGATGCTCCAGCAAAAAGACTTCTGGTTAGGAGATTGAAGGTTTTGAGGAGCGTGGGACCACATTTTAATTGCTGTTGTTCCCAGGTCAACCCTAGCCCGGGGTGGTAGCACCTGTTAGGATCCCAGCTATGGGCAAATTGACAGTTTCTGGGAAATAGCGTGATATCTAACGTAATCAAAACTTCGCTCAAGAACTCAAGATGACTTGTGACTTCGTGTTAGCACAGCTATCGATGGTCCCTAAGGGTTCGGTCTACCCAATTTCACTCTCAAGGCTTGGGTAGGGTTCTGTTTACACAGTTTTCACTCACAAGGTGTGGTATGGTTTTCAGGTACTTTCCAAAGGTGTCGCATGCTGGGATCGACCCCTCCGATAATATCAGGTGGATTTGTCAGGAAGGAGATCATGTCATCCTTTTTTTAATCCAGCTTAAACCGGACCAATATCAGTTCCCTGAGGTTTCTCTGATGTATTCCTTGTGGCAACCATTACAGTTGATAGAGTAAATCCTCTCCGGCGTTTTTCAGTTAATATTTGTAGGAAATTCCAACAAATATCACCAGAAGAAGGCCGGAGAACACAACGGCCTAAGCGTCGTGATGTGACAATAAAGATGAGGACAACAGTCTGAACAATGTGAATAGTGTAAATAGTTACAACACTTCATCCCAGAAATATACACAGAGTCAGAAATCTAGTAGTATTTAGTTTAGCAGAGTCAGGAGAGCCCCCCCACAAATCAACAAAAAGTAGTTTAGATTTAGCATCGAAAAGGTAAGAGATCGATTTGGTCCAGGATTAAAAAAAAGGATGACCTCATGGTCAGAATTCGGACGTTCTAAACACACACTAACAACAACAAAGCAAGTTAATATCTCTTTGTCATTAGAATAGCGGTCCTCATCGAGGTTAGCATCGAAATGAGACAGCGTATAGCCTCCCAAAAACGTTTTGTTATTATGACAGCTCAAAGCAAAGAAATCTCTTTCTGATATTGGTCGACTGATTTTCGAAGAATGGATTTACTGAGGAACAAGAGTATAAATCCATCCATCGGTTATCATCCCAAACTATTCGGTATACTTTCTAACCACTGTACAAAAAAACATATAGCATGAAAAAAAACGATGTAATAAATTTTATCGGCTTAAATATATATATCATTCTTAAGAAGAAACACCAAAGTATTTTTGAAATTTTAAAATTTTTCTCATTCTTATCAGGTCCGAAATTTTATTTAAAAATGTTGTTTATTTCCGTCATCAAAATTACTTAAAAGGTAGCATCCGCCATTTTTTTCTTAATTTTGTAAAATGTTAAAAATCTCGTTTATTTTGGTATAATTATGTTTTCAAAATTTATTTGACTAAAATTAGCAAATTTAAAGATTAGTTTATTTTGAAACTTTTTCTTACTTTTTCGAATAAAAAAATTGTTAAATTAAGCGATCTGAATGTTGTCATTTCGAGTGACAAGTGATACCTGTCATCACATATCGACAAAACGTTTGGTTTCATACAGATAATTACGTAACGTTTTTTTTTGTTTTTGTGTGAATCAGCTTATGTACTAGTAATTAGTAGATAATAAAAAACAAAAAATAGTATCAATTTCTTTATTTTGTTATTTTCTATTCTGGAACTTAAAAATTTTGTTGATACTCTCCATTGTTACGAGGATGCATTTTCAATAATAGGGATTCCTTTGAGTTTTCGACCGATGAATAGGTAAAAAGAAATTTAGAAATAGAATGTTTGGAAGATTCTAGATTTAGTATATTCGAGGAACAAATTAGGTGTTAGCCCCTATAAAAATGGGATTTTGGAAAAGGGTTGTCAGTTTCAGTATCAATCTGGCTTTTGATTCAGGAATTATCCAGCCGAAAGAATTCTATAAAAAGTTGCCGACCAACCAAAACCCAAAAGAGAATTTCATGGAACAAAGTTGGTAAATAGAATTTTGACTAATTTTCATTATTTATTTAACACCTTGTGGATTTCCAAATATAGCAGTTTTCTAAAGTGATAAAGATATTTGTCCTTCTCCCCCAACACTTCTCGCCAGTAAACTGTGTTTTCTGTTTTGTAGGCCACAATTGTTTTCTTGTATATGTTCTTAAAATTTGTTTGTGATTAGCCTGTGTTGTGGTAAAATTTTTTTTTCCTTTGTTACAATTATCTTAACATAGAGATAATAAATACTATAAATAATGAAATTTCTTACAATCTTTCAATCTTCTTTTTTTAAATCATTTAAGCGCTTTTTTGCATAATTATTTTTCATTAAATTGTCATTGATGGGTCCAAATTATAGATTTTGTCCCAATGACGGATGAGACAAGGTTGACATTTTAAATTTTTTAAAAATTTAATATCTTGGATTTAAAATTAAAGAAAAATTGTATTGACATTTGAAAAATTTTTTACTTTCAGAAAAAAATTGTATTTATTGAAATTAAATAGTATATAATTAATCAGAGCTGATTTTCAGGTAATGGGTTCATTAAAAAAAAAAAACATGATTTTATCTTCTTCCTTTTTGTTTTAAATATTGTAATACTAAAACCGATGGTATGGAAGTTTTTCATTTAATTTTGCCATGACTTTAATAAAAAACATATTATCTAAGATTTGAATTTCATTAACATTACATCCTCAGATGGTTATCATAAAAATTATTATAATTTAGTATTTTGCAACATATGGATAAATCAAAATTTAGAAATTCTAAAAAAGATGGAAAATAAAAAAAACAAAAATGCATTTTTGTTTCGATGACAGACCATCTTTGTTCCTCACCTTTTTCGAGATTTCGTGAGCATCTTTGCATCGAAACAGTTTTTTAAAGAAATGTCTTCTAAAAATGGCCTATGTTCTCTCAAATCTTTGTTTTAAAATTTTGTTTTATCTTTAATTATTTTAAATGCTAATATCTTTGGATTATCAAATGTAAACATTTTATAATAAATTTGAATATTACATCTCAGATGGTTACAAAAAGCTCTACACCTGGATATCTCACGACAAAATGCATTTTGTTTTTTTTTGAATTATGCATCTTGCTGTCGTAATTAGTTTTGAATTTATGTTCTTTACGTGGGATTGAGGACTTTTTGAATTGCATATATATATATATATATATATATATATATATATATATATATATCACAAAAAAAAAAGAACAGTAAGATATATAATCCGGTGTAATTATTGATGTTTTAATTTTTACAAAACAGCGCTCAATGTAAATTTACAGAGCATAAATATTATAAATTAACTGATTTAATATATGGTTTCATCGCTTTACATAGGAATTACCATGTTTCAAAAACTGAAGCTAAACACTTTAAATTTAATTATATAATTAAATTAAAAGCATTACTTCTTTTTCATCTTCAAGCGAATTTTAAATCAGATAATTTATAATACATATATATATATATATATATATATATATATATATATATATATATATATATGTGTGTGTGTCATTCGCAGACAGTACTGTTTCGCTGTATCACAGCTCCTCAGTGCAACGAGACAACCGGTTCGAAACCCAACCGATTTGGTGTCAGTCGGATCTTCTACAACTGAGTTATCATCACTCGACAGAATGAATCAGTCAAATCTAGCATAAACAAACGCCAAGCAGCCATAGTGCTGCATTCATTTTACTGAAGAGCTTCGCATTACTTGTCTTAACTGAAGATCTCGGCAGTAACGTCTCGAGATGTTCTTTGTTAAGTGTTGACGTTGTGAGGCGTTCTTTGCTCTGTCTGGTTAGTCTTAACGTTGGGCACTTTTCGTCTGGCAAGTTGACTGTTGGCCACACCAACATCACTGTTTTCCCTTTAGTGTGTATATATATATATATATATATATTATGAAATAGACAAAGACCGACAACTATTTAAGATATTTTATGTTTATACGTTCTTTAAGTCGTAAAACAATTAGGTGAAAACGAACAAAACTAAAAAAAACATGCAAATAATATATATATATATATATATATATATATATGTGTGTGTGTGTGTGCGTATTTAGCAGCAAATTCTCTTTTAGTCATGTCTGATTAAATAGATTACAGACATTATGCCTGCTTATTTTTAATAAAAAAACGTTTAATATTTACATTATTCGGACTATTCTCCTCATCTTTGTCGCCATATTTATTACATTTCGGCCGTTGTAGGCTCCGGACTTCTTCAGGTGGTTGGAATGTCGAACTGAAGACTTTTTTTCGCTCACTGGGGTAGACTGTTTTAGTTCTACGGGTCATGTTTTTTAAGGGATGTCAGTTGTCAATTGTCTCCTGTCAATTTCCCTCTCCAAGTTCTCCACCATCTTAACGGGGTATTGAACTCACACACTTTGTGTCTTGTCACTAACTAACACCATTATCCACGGTGCTATGTGTCGTTGAGGACATCTGTATATGAATTTCTGGGAATTATAAACCTTTGTCTTCAGCATCATTTTTTACCAGTGCTCATATTGCTTTTTTTGTTATTATCGCTTTTCTCTTTCACACCTTATTACTGGTTGCCATATTGTATTTATTTCTAAGCTTGGTCGGTAACTGACAACTGGCATCCATTAAAAAACATGGCACGAGGAACTAGAAAAGTCTACCCCAGTGAGCGAAATAAAGGGTTCAGTTCGAGATTCGAACCACCTGAAGGAGGCCGAAGCGTACAACGGCCGAAACGTTGTAATAAATATGGCGACAAAGATGAGGACAATAGCCCGAGTAATGTAAATAGTGAACGTTTTTTATCTGTAATTTATTTAATCAGACATGACTAAAAGAGAATTTGCTGCCTAAACACACACACACACACATATATATATATATTGATTATTTACATGTTTTTTTTTTTTACTTTTGTTTGTTTTCACCTAATTGTTTTACAACTTCTAATTGTGGTTTTTATTTATTTCTTAAATTAAAATTTCAAATTTATTTATTCTTTTTTGTTTTTATTATTTAAAAAGCTTTATTTTGTGTTTCTGTTTGTCTGTGTGTGTCTGTGTGTCTTTTTTTTTTTGTTGTTTTTGACTTTCATCTGATTATATCTGATGTTCTTTTGTTCAAATTTTCATTAGTAATTTTCGAGTTCTACTTAATCGACGCTTGGAAGTTAATTTCTTTCATTCCAGACGAACCGTTTTATTTTTAGTCTTTCAAAATTTCGTTTAATTTTTTATTTATTTTAGTTTTCTTGACGCGCACGCACAAAAAAAAAGAATAAACCTTTGTCTTCTTTTTTTACGAGAATTAGTTTTGGAAATGTGAGAAACATTGAGAGAGAAGAAAAAGGAAGAATGATTTGGATAATTTTCAGACATTTTCTTTCGAATCAGAATTGGTTTTGCTTTTGAAAAAAAATTAAAATGTCATTCAGTGCAGAGTCAAAAGTGGAAAATGTCTGTGGAGGGGGAGTAAATATCGACTGCAAACCTGCACAGGGGTGCTGGGATGATTACGGGAATGTCGGGAAATTCCAGTGGGATGTTGAAGTAGGATGCTGGGTACCGGAAAAAGAAGAAGAAAAAGAACAACGACGACAATAAAGAAAAAGAAACGGAACGAAAATGAACAAGAAAATGAGGGAATAGAAGAAGAAGAAGAAGAAGAAGAAACAGAACAAAAACAAAGACGAAAAAGAATGTAGATGAATAACAACAACAAAGAAAAAATAGAACGAAAATGAACAAGAAAATGAGGGAATAGAACTGGAAGAAGAAGAAGAAGAAGAAGAAGAAGAAGAAGAGCAAAGAAAAATATTAACAGCAACAACAACAAGAAGCACAAAAACAGAGAAGAAGAACAAGAAACAGAAGAAAGAAGAAAAAGAAGAAGAAAAGGGGGAAAGAACTAGAAAAAGAACTAGAAAAACAGCAAGGAAAAAAGAGAAACTGAAGAAGAGGGGAAAGAACAAAGAAGAAGAAGAGGAAAAATAACATACAAGGAGGAGGGGGAAGGGTAAGTACGAGGGGAAACGCAGAAAGAAAAAAAGGCTAAAAGAAGAACCGGAAAAGAAAAACGAAAAGTAATTATAAGATCTTCAATAGAAGTACAACAAAAAAGCAGGGGGGGGGGGCGGAGAGAAGTAGGAGGAGAAGGAGAAGTAGAAGGAGGAGATGGAAGAACATAAAAAGGTAAGATAATTATGATGATGATGATGACGTAGGTAAAAATAAATTTTTCTGTCAGGTAACTAAGGCATTTTCGAATCTTGTATTCCAATAGCAATGCCTCCGAATATAGAATTCAGTAAAATGATTACTTGCATTATTTACATAATTCGCACTTATATCCTCGTCTTTATTACCATACTAGCAGCATGGCCCGGCGTTGCCCGTGTTTGATTCAAAAATCGTACGACTCATACAGCAATCGCTATCACTTGACTTAAAATATTTTTGCCCTTCCTTGCCTTTAAAGGAGCGCCCTTTGCCGTGCTGATGTTGCTACATGCCTTACTTCTTGCCTATCTCACATTGCAATTTTTTTCTAAGCTCTATACTAAACATTACGAAAAAAGAACTAAACAAAATGAACACAAAACGATCAGCTTTAAAAAAAGGAATCGTAAGTGGAAAAACCGAATGAAAAAAAAGAATGTTAACAACAAATACTTTTTCACACCCAACCCAGTTCTGCGGAATCAGAATCAGCGTTGAGTTTAAGCAAGTGAATGAGCCAAGTGGAGTAAAGTGCCATGCAGATTTACATTTTTCCCACTTGTGACGAATGCAGCTATCGATTTTTTTGCATGCTAGCATGCTAGTTAATATTCGTGTCAGTCAGTTGTTGACGCTCATGCTGGCCAATAGAATCTTCCTGCCTATTCGTGGCAGCCAGCTATAGGCTCTCACTCTGGCCAGTAGAAAATGGCCGCAAACTACATGAAAACTTCCGTAGAAGCATGAAAAAATCGATTATGTCCACTATCGATGGGAGTTGGGAAATGCAATGTCGGTCTTGGGTTTCCCGCTAACTTGGATCATGTGCATGTAAATTTTGGTGCAAATCCGTCGAAAATTGCGGCCGTGCATTTGTTACATACACACAGACACATCCTGCCTTTTATAGATAGAGATTTACAACGTTTCACACTTGCCATGCCTCATCTGGAAGTCTCAGTTATTTCCCTTTAACTCAGCTCTCCAAGTTGTTGGTTCACCACTGCTGTGGCCCGGTATTGAACTCAGAACTCTTTGAGTCTGATCATTGCATCTAACCAACGTATTTATCCACTGAGTCCTTGTTATTAGTCTTACCTTATATTATTCCACTCTCATCCGGATGAGACATGGCACGAGGAACTAGAACAATCTACCCGGTGGACGCAATAAAGGGTTCGGTTCGAAATTCCAATCACCTGATGATGGCCGGGGTGCATAACATTCGAAATGTTGTGAATATGGCAATAAAAATGAGGATAACGGCCCGAATGATGTAAATTATGCAAGTAATCATAATACCTCATATTAGAGATATCGACAGATATTCCAATCACCTGAAGATGGCCAGGGCGTATAACGTTCGAAACGTTGTGAATATGGCAATGAAGATGAGGATAACGAATAATGTAAGTCCGTAATCAAAATAATGATATGACAGATAAATAATGAAGAAGGCAAGCGCACAATGGGACTAATAAGATGAGGATAACAGTCAAATTCTTTGTATTTTATCAAGAATCACTAGAATTCGAATCATACTAAATTCAAACGATCGAAACTGAATCAATAAAATGATAACAGTCCGAATATTGAACGAACGGTAGACTTATAAATGTGTACGACGAAGTTTTAGAGAAGATGGAAAGAAAAAGAACTCTTATACTTAACATCATAATGAGAAAAGAGGGTTTAGAAAATTTGATACTCACAGGACAGATAAAAATGCAGGAGAGACAGAGGCATAGCCTACTTATTGAGCTTAAACAAATTGATGGGTGGAACGAGGCTTAAGAAATAACAAAAAGACAATATTTATTAAGAGCTACACGAAATAAGAAATAGTGGAGAGCAGTAATCGTCAACATCCTAAAGTGTCAGGTCACAAAGAAATGAAAGATAGATTCTAGAAAATCTATCTAAGTATCAAAGTAGTGATCGTACGTGTGTTATGGTCCAGGTTAGGACCAAGGAAGAACAACACAAACACAAGAGTAGAAATAACGAAGGTATATTACACGAAATAATAATACAAGATGTGGAAGGTGTTAGTATGACTGTCAGTCTGGTTTGGAGTGAACTACTATCGGCTCGACTCGATTCGTCCCTCTCTCTTGAGAGGCGTAGTATACATCGTGTTAGGAAGAGTTCATTCTCTAATTAAAGGTAAGGACCCATGGCAACGTGTTCTAACAATATTCTCCTACCCACATGGTCCATGTAATCCAAGAGTGACTAGTTAAGAGTTTTTAATATCATGTCAGCCTGTAACATGAGACATATAATTTCCTCTGATTTTCATCTCATGGGCTGCGACTGCGAAATACCAAGGAATCGTTGAAGGTCCCCATCGTGAAACCGACAGACAAGAATTCCTTGATCCTTAAGACCGGAGGTAATTTTCATGAATAACTTTTTTTCTTTTTGTTAACATGTGTGGGAAAGTGAGAGAAAAAAAACTATTCCGACAACGTGTTTCGCCTCTTTATGGCAGGCGTCTTCACGTCGGAATGAAAGACAAATCTGTGTGTAAGCGTGGAATTAAGATATCCTTATCAGCTGCTATGGCCACAGAAAGCCGCCTGGCATAACGAAAACTCTATGTAGGTCATCATGGACGGTCTGAAAGGACGTAGATTCATAGTTGCTATTTTATTAAGCTTATCTTAGTTCTGGCACAAGACAACAAGTATAGAGTACTCAGTGTAGATCTAACGCACTAGTCAGTAAAAATAGTCAACCAGATTAGTTCGTTAACCATTACATACGCGGAGTCGTCCGAAGTGAAAGACTGTTCCTAATTACTAATGCCTAACCTTGCTATTCATAATGCACCAGTGACCAACATAACTAATATATATATATATATATATATATATATATATATATATATATATATATATATATATTTATATATTTGTGGTAAAGAATTTAGTAATAGTTAGGAAATAAAAAATTTATAAGGTATTTTTTAAAAAAAAAAAAACAACCGATTTCGTCTCAGGACTTATCAAGTTTATTTTTCTGGGAATAGAAAATTTATAAAAGCGTATAAATTAAATTAACGAATGGAATGGAAGAGAAAAAAACTGAATTTCAAGAAACTAGAGTCCAATAACATTCAGACCCAGTAAGTATTCCCTCTGTTTACAAAGGGAAGGCTCACGGGATCTGATATACAAGGACTCTAGAACCTTGAGGTGATATGAGGAGGGCGACGTAGATGAAATCAAAAAACGGTCCTCAGTAAAATTAACCACACATTTCCTACTATTTATTATATGCTCAGCAATAGCAGAGCCAGAACTTTTGGTTAGTTGGCTCTTCCTGGCATCTGGATTCAAAATCCTGGTGGGGGGGTAAATGTTGTTTTATTCTCGAATCCAAACGCTGGGACGTCCTCCCTATGTAGTCGAGTCCACAACTACACTTATATTGGTAAATCACTGAATTAACATGATGGGGGAGGGAGAACGTCCTTACGAATGAAAACAGGACGGGTAACATTCGCCGAAAAATAACAGCTATTGATCCAAGGGGTAATTTGTCTAGATAAAATCTCACCCTCTGTACCAATATAGGGAAGACGCAACTAAACTGGGTGTTTATCAACAAAATGCGGCTTAACCCTATGAAATTTAATTTGTTCATATATATATATATATATATATATATATATATATATATATAGCAATTTATTTTAGGGGAAAAGTTTGTAAAAGTGGAAAAACGTTTTCGAGTGATGCTATTCGTCTCTTAGGATTGAAGGAGAAGCGCAAGTTAAGAATTTTAATTTGGAGGGTTTTATATATATATATATATATATGTAGCGAGAGAGAGAGAAAGAGAGAGAGAGAGAGACAGAGACAGAAACAGAGAGTGAGATAGGGGGAGTGAGGGGTAAATCAAATTAGATATTAGCAACCGTATATGCGCGCGTTAGCAGGTATTCACAAGTAAGCAAATAAATAGTTACTAAATTATTCTTTACGTTGTAAACATAACAGTGTTTGGTATGTTTAAACAGAGCTAAGAAATATATATCTATAAATATACATATACCTACGTTTGGAGTGCGACTTAAGTTTCATGGTTTTATCAATCGATGAGGCACGTGCCCAATGGGTTGGTAAAACAAAGAAACTTTAATTGCACCCGAGGAGGGTGTTTCAATAACTGGGACCGATTTTAAATGTGAATTAAGTTTAAGCGTTTTCTTTTTTATTTCAAATTTGGCGGCCGTTTGGGTGATATTATTCTTTCCCTCCTAATTACCATGGCTTAAATAACATGATCCAATAGAGGAATATATGAATTTTCGCCAATAATAATGCTTTATTTACTGCTGACTTTGATCCGTCTTAATGAAACACCCTTATATATAATCCGTCTTATTGAAACACCCTTTATAGATACAACATTTTTTAAATCAAAGTTATAATCAATCTCATTACTGGGAGCAAGCAATGCAATGAGTGTGATGTCTTTCGTATATTCGTATCATCTGTTATTTATATTCCTTGGCGCTTCTTCATATATATATATATATATATATATATATATATATATTTGGTTGGATAGATGTGAGTTTGTGACCATCGTAGGTCAAATTTATCCATTTTCGTAAAAAGAATAGCGCGAGTGCTCAACCCGTGAGGGGGAGGCGAAATATATGTAAAAGTGTATATAAATATAAATAAATATAGTATGTATAAGCGGTATATTAGAAAGCGCTCATGAGCGCTTTTAATAAGTACCTGCGTATATAATATATAAATAATTATACATACTTATATTTATTTATATTTATATACACTTTTCACACACACACACACACATATATATATATATATATATATATATATATATATATGGTTGGATAGATGTGAGTTTGTGACCCTGTGTTTCACGCTTTAGCGATCGTCAGACAAACTCTCTGATATTGAGCGCTTTCTAATAAGTACCATGCATATAATATATAAATAATTATACATACTTATATTTATTTATATACACTTTTCACACACACACACACACACATATATATATATATATATATATATATATATATATATATATATATATATACATTTTTAACGGTGAGCTATCTAGTGTGTTGTTTTGTAAAATATCCCTTTTGTTTTCATATAATATTTCATTTTAGTTCCTTGAGGTTTCTCCGATGTATTCCTTGTGGCAATCATTACAGTGATAGAGTAACTCCGCTCCGGCGTTTTTCAGTTAATATTTGTAAGAAATTCCAAGAAATATCACCAGGAGACGGCCGGAGAACACAACGGCCTAAGCGTCGTGATGTGACAATAAAGATGAGGACAACAGTCCGAACAATGTAAATAGTGTCAATAGTTACAATACTTCATCTCAGAAATATAGACAGAGTCAGCAATCTAGTATTCATTTTACAGCAGAGATCGATTTGCAGGAGATCTCCCCCACCCCCACCAGCAAAAAAAACAGTTATACGTCTGATATACAGTAGCATCGAAAAGGTAAGTACCCATTAGTTATTATTAAAGCAAAGAAGGTGATATTAGTCCGGTTTAAGATGGATTGAAAAAGGGTGACATAAGTAAGGTTTATATTAAAGTCAAGAAGGTAGACATAAGAGCAGTTTATAAAACTGGCAAAAAAAAAGCAGAGGGAACTCTGGTTTGAAATTGGCGTCAAAATTTAAACAGTTTGTATTGGGATAAAAAAAATCAAACATTTGCCCAGCTTACATTAGAATCAAAAAGGTATACATAGGTCCGGCTTACATTATAGTAAAAAATATAGATATATGTCCGGTTTACACTAGAGTCAAAAAGACGGATATATGTCCAGTTTGCACTAGGCCAAAAAAAGGGACACATAGATCCGGTTTACATTAAAGTGAAAAAGGAGGCATGGGTCCGGTTTACACTAGAGTCAATAAGGTAAACATATGTCCAGTTTATATTAGAGTCAAAAATATAGATATATGTCCGGTTTACACTAGAGTCAAAAAGACAGACATAGGTCCAGTTTGCACTAACGTCAAAAAAGGACACATAGATCCGGATTACATTAAAGTGAAAAGAAGACATGGGTCAGGTTAACACTAGTGTCAAATAGGTAGAAATAGGCCCGATTTACATTAGTATCAAAACGATAAATAGCCACTCGACCTCGTGTATGCGAGATCAATGGGGAATTTTTTGTCCGAGCGTACACACTCGGACAAAAAATTCCCCATTGATCTGGCCTTGTGCCACTTCCGACTTTGTTTTGGGGTCTCGGGTAAATATCAGGTCAAAAGGGTAGACATATGTCCGGTTACCACTAGTCCAAAAGGAGACATTGATCCGGTTTACATTAGGGTCCACAGGGAGATATGGGTCCGGTTTACACGTGGTGGGGAAAAATGAATTTTAGAAATGTTTTGAAAAAACAAACAAGTTAATGTAAAAAAAGAAACAAACAAACAAACAAGCCATTGGAGAGAGAAAGAAAGCTAAAAAGAAAGGAATCACTGGAGAAAGAAAGAAAGAAAGAAAGAAAGAAAGAAAGAAAGAAAGAAAGAAAGAAAGAAATCACTGAAAAAAGTAAGGAAGAAATCGCTGGAGAAAGAAAGAAAGGAATCACTGGGAAAAGGAAGGAAGGAAAGGAAGGAAGGAAGGAAGAAAGGAAAGGAAGGAAGGAAGGAAGGAAAGGAAGAAAGGAAGGAAGGAAGAAAGGAAGGAAGGAAGAAAGGAAGGAAGGAAGGAAGGAAGGACGATTTATAGATAGAAAAAGGAAATGTAAAACTGTAAAAAATAGACCGAACAACGAAAGCACGAACTACAATATCGCTTATGAGATGAAGCAAAATGAAAAAAGGCTAATAGAGAGAAACGGAGAGGATAAAAGTGTAAACAGTGTCAAAAAGGTGTAAATATAAAGAGAATTTTGTTTGAAAAGAGAGGGAAAATCTTCAAAGAACAAAAGAAAGAAAATAAAATGGGCTTATTGTAAAGGTAAAACAGTTGAAAGAATGAAAGAAAAACAAAGAAAGAAAAGAATTTTATAGATAGAAAAGATATGGTTAAAATGTAGAAAGAAAGAGAAAAGAAAGAAAGAAAATTTTCGAAAAACATGAAGAACTATTTTCTGAAAGCTTAACAAATACCAGCTATTAATCTTTGCTTAAAATATTTATATTCATGATATAAGACAGGGTAAAAACAACTACTAGATTCGTATAAACCATATTTTTACATATTGCGTACATTTTATATTGCATACATATATAATATGTATATAGTTACATAGTACATAAATCCGAATATTTGGAATTGATACGCCAAGTAACATATAACGAATTTATTTTTTGCTACCGCCATGACACGGGCAAACGAGAGCATAAGAGTAAAGTCCTCAGGCAAAGGAAATGGTAAGCTCTTGTACAAGTCCAACCCTTTTTCCTCGGCCTTCCGGCTTCTTCTTTGTTTTTCTTGTTTTGTTTTGATTTTTTTATTCTTTTCTTTCTTTTCTTTTGCCCCTACCCGGAACCGAACTCAAATCCCCACTGTCTTCGGCTGGCAAACACCGTCCTTCTACCTTCATCTCTTTCACGGAGCAAAGAGGCTACCGACTATTGATTCACGTGACATGCTAAAACAGAGTAATAATGTTCCAGTTGGCAAACAGACGCCTATTTACTTTTGTCAGATATTGTACGCGAAAGACGAAGGCGTTTTTACTAAGGTTTATTGAAAGGTTGTGAATGCATAACGCTTTCAGGGAGTAACCTCCCTTGGCTAACGGCCATTTTGTAAGAATTTGGGTTCGTTTTTTTTTTCCTCTTTATTTTTTCTATGTTTGCTTTTTGTTTGTGTGTATGATTTTTGTTTTTAATATTTTATGTAGGTTTTTATTTATTTTTTTTTTGTCATTATTAGATGGTTACTTGGTGGCGCCATTTTCCCCGTTGACTTTTTTTTCTTCTTTTTTCGCCCTTTACCAAATACTGTGTCTTTATTGCTCGTGTTTGTCTTGCAATTTGTTCCTGCAATCTTGAAGCCTTTTATTTTCATCGTTATTCATCTTTGTCTTTTCTACCCGCTTTCATCTTCTTATTGCCAATTGCTTGCCTATTCTCTTAGCTTCGCTTTCAGTTTGCAATACATTCATTTTCCTCTCGCCTCTTTCTCTTTTTTATTTTATCTTTCTTTTATTTCTTTCTTTGTTTTTCATTGCCGCCTGTTTCGGCCAGTGTCCTTGTACATTTTAAATTCTTTCATTGATATTATCTAAGTTAGCATTTCAAGATTCCTTCCTTCCTTCCTTCCTTCCTTCCTTCCTTCCTTCCTTCCTTCCTTTATCTTTTCTCTTTTCTTTCTACCTTTCTTTTTTCTTGTTCTCTTCCGAGGAAAAAGCCAAGCAGTAGAACTAGAAACTTCCCGCGCTTCTCTTTCTCTCTACCGCCATTACTGTCTTTCTATCTTCCTGCCTATATAAAGAGAGAGAGAGGGTAAATACAGAGGAATCCAGGGAGGCAGAAAGAGAAAGAAAAGCTAGATAAAGAGAGAGTGTATGTATGTGTGTGTGTGTGTGTGTGTGAGAGAGAGAGAGGTGGATGAGGAAGAGGAGATCGAAAGAAAAGGAGATGGTAAGAGAGAGCGGGAGATAGGCATATAGAGATACACAGAGAGGGAGAGAGAAATAAAGAGAGAGCTATATATATATATATATATATATATATATATATATATATATATATATATATATATATATATAAGCAGGTGACAGAGAATGGTTACGAAAGCGAAAATAGAAAGATAGGAGAGGAAATAAAAAAGAGAAAGCTAGGTATAAATGAACAAATAAAAAGATATATATATATATATATATATATATATATATATATATATATATATATATTATTCATTCTCTGTCTCCTGATTATATGTCTATATAGCCCTCCCTTTATTGTCTATCTCCCTCTCTGTGTATCTATATATGCCTATCCACCGCTCTCTCTATCTCTTACTATCTCCTCTTCTTTCGATCTCGTATTCCTCATCCACCTCTCTCTCTCTCTCTCTCTCTCTCTCTCTCTCACTCTCTTTATCTAGCTTTTATTTCTTTTTCTGTCTCCCTGTATTCCTCTGTATCTATCCTATCACTCTTTTTCTATTTCCTTCTCGTTTGCTCTCTTTCTTTGTCATCCGTCTTTCTATCTATCCCTCTCCCCACTGTCGCCATGTCTCCTTCTCTCTCTTTCTTTCTTCATGTCTCTCCTTTTCTTTTTGACTACTACACTCACTCTCTATCTATTTCTGTCTATGTTTCTCTTTCTTACTATCTCTCCTTCTTCGTTTCTCTATTCGTGCCTTTTCTATTTCCCTCTATTCTTATCTCTCCATATATCTATGTATCTCTCTCCCTCCCGTCTTTCTCTCTCCGCCCTCTCTCTCTCTTTCCCTATCTATCTATCTATCTATCTATCTATCTATCTATCTATCTTTATATATATATATATATATATATATATATATAACCTTTTCAGCCTACTCATATCTCTCTATCTATCTATCTATCTATCTCGCTCACGTTTCTTGACTCTTTCCATTTGACGGACACCAATCTTTTTTTTTTTCCCAATATGGCCGCACGCATGCTTGGTATGTAAATACAACAGACATGCGCAGGATATTGAGAAGCTACCCAACATGCGCAGAACGTAATGAAAATTCAGCAATGAGCACCAATTCGTCGATGTAGAAAATTAAAACCACATGAATGCTGGCGCCGCTGTTTGTAACCTTGGGAGTCTGTGGTTTGGGGTAGAGGCATTTTTTTCTAGCTGGAAAGGGGCCAACATAGTCCGGTTCTAGATGCCCCGGTCCAGCCAACAAGTCTGGTCGCCTCTCCTTCTGGCTGGACATCGTGAGATAACAATAGCCTCGGCGGAAATCGAGCAAAGGTCTGAAACAAACAAAAGAAGCAAAAAAAAAAAAAAAGTCATGTTCCTCTTTGTCCCTTATGTATCACATTATACGGGGCAATACCTTATCAATGACCTTGGATAGTGGGCGGAGGATTACGTAGCCAAATCGCTATAACCTGAAAATCAATAAAGAATAAGGAAATCAAATCAAATAAAAACTATCCCCCCCTGCACCCCCACCCAAAGAGAGAAAAACAAAAATGGGGGAAAAAAATAAGAGAAAGACGTTGTAGATCAGAAGAGATTCGGCTTACGTTCATTTCTGGGGCAATTCGAAACACTTCCGGTTCATTGTTCCGGTCAATTTCTCTATTCGCGAGTCAGTGTAGGGCAGAGGAAAATAATGAAAGGAAAAAAAGGAAAGATCTGGAAATTAGTGAATGAATCAAAGAAATGGAATTACTAATGGTTGTAGGACTACTGTCCACCTGCAGTGAGAAAGAAAGAAAGAAAGAAAGAAAGAAAGAAAGAAAGAAAGAAAGAAAGAAAGAAGGAAAGAAAGAAAGAAAATCAATCAATCAATGGCAAAAGTAAGAGAGAAATCAACGGAGAAAGAAAGAAAGAAAGAAAGAGAGAAAGAAAGAAAGAATTGAAGAAAGAAAGAAAGAAAGAAATCATTCAATCAATCAATCAATGCAGAAAGTAAGAGAGAAATCAATAAAGAAATAAAGAAGGAAAGAAAGAAAGAAAGAAATCGTTGAAAATTAAAAAAGAAAACTGTTTATAGACAGAAAAAGGAAACTTAAATCTATAAAAAGAAGACGAACTAAAATGTCGCTTTTAAGCTAAAGAAAAAATAAATTAACCTGTAAACAGACAAAGGGAGGATAAATATATAAGCAGAAAGATAGAAAGAAAAGTGATTTATAGGAAGTAAGAAAAGTGGCTTCTAGGGTGAAAAAGAAAGTTGCTTATAGGATGAAAAAATGAAAGTAGCTTATAGAATAAAGAAAAAGATGAAGGTGACTGACAGATAAAAATGGAAGCTAAAACTATCAAAAAATCTAAACAAAAAAAGCAAGAACTTAATAAAAAGTGGCTTATAAAATAAAGAGATTAAAGTGGCTTATATAGTGAAAAAGGGAAGATAATATTGTAAACATAAAGAAAAAAGAGGGACAGACAGAAAGAAAAAAAGAAAAGAAGAAAATGAAGTTTATTGGAAGAAAAAGAAAAATGAAATGAAAAGGGACTTATAGAAAATCGGATAAAATGTAAAAAAAAAGAAAGAATAGAAACTGGTTTATAGGAAAAAGAAGAAATGACAAGTGATTTTGAGTTAGGAAAGGAGGAGGTATACAAAGTGTGAAAGAAGGAAAAAGAGGCTTATAATATAAATAAATGTCGAAATGGCGTAAAGAAAGAAAGAAAGTGGTTTAAATATAGAAGAGAACTCCAATGGCAAGTGGCTTACAGATAGAAAGGAAAGGGTAAAAAAATGACAAAGAAAGAATAGAGAAAAAAGATGCCTATACAATAAAGAAAAGCATTTTGACAAAAAATGGATGGTAAATGCATAAAAAGAAAGAGAGAAAGAAACAAAGAAACAAAGAAAGAAACAAAGAGAGAAAGGCAGACATCACAGGAGAAAGAAAGAAAGAAAGAAAGAAAGAAAGAAAGAAAGAAAGAAAGAAAGAAAGAGAGAAAGAAAGAAAGAGAGAAAGAATGAAATCACTGGTGGAATAAAAAAGAAAGAAATCACTGGAGAAAGAAAGAAAAAAGAAAGAAAGAAAGAAACAAACAAACAAACAAAGAGAGAAAGGCAGACATCGCAGGAGAAAGAAAGAAACAAAGAAACAAAGAAAAAGAAAGGACTCACTAGTGGAATAAAAAAGAAAGAAATCACTGGAGAAAGAAAGAAAGAAAGAAAGAAAGAAAGAAAGAAAGAAAGAAAGAAACTAAGAAACAAACAAACAAAGAGATAAAGGCAGACATCGCAGGAGAAAGAAAGCAACAAACAAAGAGAGAAAGAATGAAATCAGTGGTGGAATAAAAAAGAAAGAAATCACTGGAGAAAGAAAGAAAGAAAGAAACAAACAAAAAAAGAAACAAACAAAGAGATAAAAACAAACATCGCAGGAGAAAGAAAAAAGAAAGAAAGCTCGAAAAAGTGGCTTAAATTATGAATGAAAATTGTAAAAGAAAGTAGCCTGAAGGAAGAAAGAAAGAAAGAAAGGAATGTAAAGTGGCTTATTGACAGAAAGGAGAAAGAAAATAAAGGAAAATAATGCAAATTGGCTTATAGAAAACGGTAAAAAGAAACAAAGAACCATAGAAAAGCAGTTTATAATAAAAGAAAGAGGACGAAACTGAAAAATAAAAAAAAAAGAAGAAAACCCATCCTAACATTTTGAGTGTAAGCGATATCAACCCCATCAGGGGAACTTAATTACAAATGAAATGGAATACTCTTTTAAAATAATTTAAGTTTCTTTCCATAATCGTATTGAAAAAATTATTAGCCAACTTAAATAATATGACGATGTTTTTAAAAATATATTTCTATAGTTATTTTTTTCATTGTTTCACCCTAAGCATGGCAATAAAGCCACTAAGACGCAAGATGGGTATTGAATATTAGAGATTATGTGAACGAGAAGATTAAGGCAAGAGAACAATAAAAGAATAGTAATTAAGAAGACAGAAGATAACAATCAACTTTACAATTAAATTTTTAAAAGATCAAAGTTGATTGGAAATCAAGAATCCGGAAGTGAGTTCAACAAGCGAGAAATGCGAGAGAACTTACGGTTACATCGAACCATTCCAATTGTAAAATGATGAGACCTTACCGTCAATCTAGTAGTGCACTTCAATTGATAACATCGAGATACTAAAGAGGAAAGTGATATTTATTTTTGTAAAATTACAAAAAAAAAAAATGCACATGGCGATGAGGGGATTTAAAGTTCTGAAGTTCAAAGATGACAGGAAGGCAAGATGCCGGAAGAGAGTTTCACTTTTATTGTGAGCCTTTACGTGAGACATGTACAAAAAAAAAAAAAAAAAGCAAGCTAAGTAACAATTTATCTAAACACTTCTTTTCACACTATTTACATTATTCGGACTATTGTCCTCAGCTTTGTCACCATATTCATTACAACGTTTCGGCCGTTGTACGCTCCGGCCTTCTTCAGGTGTTTGGAATGTCGAACTGAACCCTTTATTTCGCTCACTGGAGTAGACTGTTCTAGTTCCACGTGCCATGTTTAATGGATGTCAGTTATCAGTTATCTCCTGTTAATTCCCCTCTGAAAGTTCTCCACTGCCTTAACCGGGTATTGAACTTACACTCTTTTGGGTCTTTTCACTGGATCTAACTAACGTCTTTGAGGACACCTGGAAGATTTAAGATAATCATAAGTAATTTATCGAGTCTAGAAGAAACCTTAACAGAATGCAGAAAGCACTGGACGGCCGTTTCGTTCTATATTTGGGACTCATCATTAAAACCCGGACAATTACGTTATCAGGAAAAACGTCATACCAACTGTTCCATCGGGCCTCGGTGGCGAAGAGGTAGCGAATGAGATTCGATATATCGCCGCTCGATCACATTAATTATAATTATCTTAAATCCTCCTAATTTCTATCACTTGTATATCTTTGCTTGAACCGGTTTCTAATGCTTCTAATAGTAATTCTGGCTCATGGGGGCACAGTCCTATGGGTAAGGGAAACTCGGATGACTTCCACCACGGAAAATGTGATCGAGCGGGGGCTATATCGAGTCTGTTGGAACAGTTGCTATGACGTTTGCCTGATAACGTAACTGTCCAGGTTTCAATTCTCGGTAGTGGATGCGCACTGCTGATGAGTCCCAAATATAGGACGAAACGTGCAATGCTTTCGTGTTTCATGTAGACTAGATGAATTAATTATATATATATATATATATATATATATATATATATATACATACACACAATGTCTGCCAAATTGCGGTAACATTGTTATGTGTGATCGTAATGGATGTGATTCAGCAATTGCGCTGGCCATTTTGGTTAAACTTCGCCATGCTAATAAATGTCTGGAAACTAAAAACTATTATCTTAATCATCTCTGGTGATTGTAGAGTCATAAGGTAACTTGTATTAATCTCCTGTTGTCTGAATGAAATTAGTATTAAAATATCTGTTCGAGTTTTTCCTTGCCTGAAAAGTGTATATGTTTTTGGTAATATATATATATATTTATTAAAGACATTTTTTTATGTTTAACGTTGTTATTTTATAGATACAAGTATTTAAGCAAATGCTCTTTTTATGATAAACAGTATTAAATAACATTTAACGGCCTGAATGTCCGAGAAATTTTCATAGAAAATATTCGTTCTTTGACAGTGTTCGAACCTGCATTCCATACGGAACCGTCACATACGCTGACGTGCCTTACCTCTAGGCTACAAAGAACCGTTCGGTAAACAAGGTCGAATTTACTGCTTATAAACTCCAATCTTCCATGAATCTCGTACATTCATAACTGCTCTGGCGTATCGAATGTAAACAAATGACGTCATATATTAAGAAATGGACAAAAGTCCGACAATTTATTTATTAAAGACATTTTTTTATGTTTAACGTTGTTATTTAAAGAACGAAAGTATTTAAAAAATGCTCGGACATTCAGGCCGGTAAATGTTATTTAATACTGTTTATCATAAAAGAAATTTTTAAATATTTGAATCTATAAAAACAACGTTAAACATAAAAAAAATTTCTTAATAAATAAATTGTCGGACTTGTCCATTAATATATATATATATATATATATATATATATATATATATATATATATATATATATATATTAGTGAAAAAAATACAATAATACATATGCAAAATATATATAAAAATACCCATACATGTATATTTTCAGAAAAAAATTTTCCAAGAGGAAGAATCCAGGTAGAATTCAATGTCTAGGACAGAGTAAGGATATAATAAAAAGGCTTAAACACTAATATTCCATGTTTATTATATTATATTAGTCTTTAAGCCTTTTTATTATATCCTTACCTTATATATATATATTATTTTCTCGGATTGATCACCTGTAGAACTCCGTTTTTTTATTTCTTGCTTTCCTGTCACCTACAGTCTTCAAAAATTAAAATGCAACGTCAATCGCCGTCTTCTTCGTTTCTGAACCCATTTCGTTTATTCTCCTTTCCCCATATTTTTTCTCACTAAAGTCTTCTCATTTTCCTTTTTCTTTTTCTTTTTCCTTTTTTGTTAAACGCCACCCTGCGTCTTAGTGACATTATTGTCTTACTTGAAGGGAAACGATGAAAATCGGAGGTATCCGAGAATAGCCAACATGAGAAGGATCCCAAGATATGCGATAACAATTGGCGATGTCAAAATCTAACAAGTACAAAAGTTTAAATATGTGGAAAGTGTTTTAACAGAGTGTAAAAACCGTGAGCCGAAATCTGATGATGAATTGGAGTAGGAAACGATGCTTTCCCAAAGCTAAGCAAAGTATTAAGAAACAGGAAAATCCCGTTAGAAACAAAGAAGAGTGCTGGAATGCTTATGTTATCTGACTGTCTCTCTGTCTGTCTAGTCATTTGTTTATTATATTATCAGATTGTTCATTTATTATCTATCTATCTATCTATCTATCATCTATCTATCTATCAGTCTCTATAATATCTATCTCTCTATCTATCTATCTATCTATCTATCTCTATCTATCTATTCTATAGATATGAATAGACCGAGAATGCAAAACAATAAATTTAGTATCAGTTTTTTTTCCCCTTGAGTCTGAATGAATGCGAACGAGACAGAAATAAATTAAAATAAAATTAATAATAATAATAATAATAATAATAATATCGTCACCAAGTCAAGTTCAAATGGAAATTTAATGAATTGTTTGTCAAACTCAAAAATAAATTAATTCATACCTGTATATGAGGGTCGTTGATAAAGTTCTGAGTCCCCGACCCCGGAAAGAAGAGCCATATCTGAACATTTTTGTTGTGTCAACACACTACTACTTCTTATAAACAGAGAAAAACAAATTCAGATTTTTGTCTTAATTTCTGTGCAGGTGAGGCCCATATAAATTTGAGAGGTGTGCGACAAATATTGAAATGGATAAAATAGAGGCCTGGGCAATCAAAAATTAACTGCAATAGAAAGTTATGACACCCAAGGAAATCCATGAGGACATGATACAGACACTTACTGAGGAGACCCCTGCTTATACAATTGTGAAGAAGTGGTCTGCGGAATTCAAGCGGGGCAGGGGCAGCACGGAAGATGACCCTCGGTCAGGTTGAACAAAAACCTCTATTCATATGAGATGAACAAATTGATGCCATTCACCGTATTGTTTTGGATGCCAGACGTCTTACTATCCATCAGATAGCTAAGTCCATAGGTTTTAGTTTTGGTTCGGTCCATACCAAGATATTGAGGATGAATAAGCTGTCTGCAAGATGGATCCCAAGAATACTGACACCAGAGCAGAATCTGAAAAAGGTTGGCATTTCTAGGACACTCCTGACACCCTTCCAGGTTGACACTGAGAATTTCCTCCACCACAGCTCAAGATGAAACCTGGGTTCACCTCTTCGAACCTGAATCAAATTATAATTATTTACGAATTTTGATTCGTAAATAATTATATAGGCCATACTTATATTTATATATATTATATAATTATATAGGCCTATATATATATATATATATATATATATATATATATATATATATATATAATTATTTAAGAATTTTGATTCGTAAATAATTCTGCTCTCAGACAAGCAATATGGTTTCCACTTTGCCCGATCTACAGCTGATGATGTGCTTACGACCATCACTGAAGTTGTCTACCAAGCACTACGAAATAACGGAGAAGCTCGTGCCGTGGCCCTAGATATCTCCAAAGAATTTGATAGGGTTTGGCATGCCGGCCTTCTTCGCAAGCTCCAGGGTTATGGTATTACGGGTCGATTGTTTGACCTAATACAATCATTCCAATCAAACCGTGAATTGAAGGTCGTTCTCAATGGATTCTCCTCCAGTTCCTATCCCACGAACGCAGGTGTCCCCCAAGGCTCCATCCTAGGCCCTACTCTGTTCCTTATCTTCATTAACGATCTTCCTGACGCCATTGATTCCCAAGTAGGCATCTACGCGGACGACACTACAATTTACTCCTGCCTCAAAAACAAATCTAGTGTCGCTGACAAAACTAACCTGGCCGTGCGTCTCGAAAAGGACCTCCAATCGGTTGTGAACTGGGGCAGGAATTGACTGGTCAACTTTAATGCCACAAAAACAAAACTGCTGTCTATTAATCACCACATAGATCCTTCCCTGCCCTCCATTAGAA